GAGAGAGAGAGAGAAAATGATTCGCTGTACACAGAGATCTTTCGGCCAACACGTTTTCACCGATCAACGACGACTACCGGAAACGAATCGTTCCATCTTCGTATCCTCGCTTTTGGAAAGGCAACGATGTGCAAGGAAACATTGCGATAAAATGCTTGTTTTCGTTTTGCGTGATTCGTAAAAAGTTCTATAAGGTCGATAAAAATCGGACCGTGAAAAGTAGCAAGTCGGTGATTTAAATGCGATAAGCTCCCGTATAAAAAATAATTCTTTCGCGGTCGTTTTCCTTAGATCAGGTGTAAACGCATCGACACCTTAATAATAATACCGTGACTCTAGGAACTATTTGCCTTGCCATTAATCTTAAACGACTATCAAGGTGCCCGTTTCGATTATATCGATATCATTATATATCGAAAAAAAAAAAAAAAAAAAAGAACGGACTTTTTTTTATCTTATCTGATCTTTCCGATCAGCTGTATCTCTGCATTCGTTGAGTGTGTTGATCGTGATTCCCCGTTCATACTCTTTACAAAGGGATTTTCGGTAATAATAAACCACCCCGAACAAGGCACTTTCAGTCTATGAAATGAGAATTCGTCGAAGAACGAAACAACGACGACGATGACGACGACGACGACGACGACGACGACGACGACGACGACGACGACGACAACGATGACGATGACGATGACGAGAACGGTGACGCGACGCGATAATCATCACCGTTCATCGTCGATGGAAATTGGATAAGTTTTAAGGGGGGAGGGAAAAGGAAACGGTGAAACGAAACCGAGAGGAAGGGAAAGTAAAGGAAGAAGAAGAAGAAGAAGAAGAAGAAGGAAAGGGAAGGAACGAAAGGGAGCTAAAAATAGTATCGACAATTTTAGTAGATCCTAAAAGAGCCTTGACATTTTCTTCGCCGCCGTTGCTCTTCACTCGAGCTATAAAGGTAGACTATGAGCATCCACATCTCTCGACGACCATGCCTGGTAATCGCGAAAACACGATTTGATACTCGTTATCGAAGTACAACATCGTGATCTCGGAGAGTTTTCTCGGGGCGCAACATGGACCAGAGTTGTTAGGCGGTTCCGCCAGGCTGACGATGTGAGTGTTTGGATACGCCGGTAGAAACGCCATCGGACAATCGCCCGAGCAATAATTGGCATCGTACCTAAGAGACACAAAAATCGTAATCCGTAATTATTTATTTATTTACGTATGCGTGATAATTATACGATAGCGTCGTGATGAGAAAAAAAGAAGAGAGAGAGAGAGAGAGAAATACAAACGCGAATATTCTTACTTTTATTTACGACGGAACAGATATTCGTACGCGTTGCATACGAGTTTGATTCAGGAATCGTATATGATATCGAAGATGATTTTATACATATATATATGGAGAACGATACTCACTTCTTGGGCGCGATTATCCAATCCCAGCCAAATTTCTCAAAATCGACGGTGAGCTTGTATCGACAACATCTGGTCTCTTGGCTGGCTTCGTCGCAATTAAGTCCTACGTTTCTCTTGATCCTCGCCCCTCTTCTAGAGTCGAGTTCTTGCGTCTGTACTTCGAGGTATGGCGCGTACTCGGCTTCGGGATTAGTCTCGACTAATTTCGAATTTCTGCGATGATTACCACTACCACCACCACCACCACCACCACTACCACCACCACCACTACTACCACCACCACCACCACCACCACCACCACCACCACCACTACCACCACCTCCGGGACCGGAGATCTTGAGCGCTACTCCGAGATTGTCCCGTGGATGTTTGAACCATTCGGCGACCATTCTCCTCAACTCGATCGTTACCCAATTGCCTTTGATGCCGATCGGCCGAGGATGTTTCGTGGTCAACGGTGGACCAACGATGGACCTCCCGTCTCGGTGGTGCCGCGTACGATCCTTTGCAACGTGATCGTCACGGGCCCACCACCCTCCTCCTCCTCCTCCTCGCTCTCCATCGACCGTTCCAAATCTCCTCCGAGTTCGTCCAGCTCTTTCGAGACGTCCTCTTCCTTCGTTCCCCATATCCACAACGATAATTCCGCTCTCGTCACGCGATGCTGAACCACCTTGTCCGAGAATTTGAAATAGAGAACGTCGAAGCTGCCTTTCGAGTGCCGTAGCCTCTGATCTGTAAATAAATAAAAGATGGAAAAGAAAAAAAAAAAAAAAGAACGAGCGATGACAAGACGATTGTGATGAAATGAAGAGAGAGAGAGAGAGAGAGAGAGGGGGTGGGGG